CGCCGCTGCCCCCCCTCGCCGGGAAGAGACGCTCCTGGCAAAGGCGAACCCGTTCCCAAAAAACAAAACAAATCAATGAGCTCCCAGGCAGACCTGTGTGACAGCACTGAGCCTGTCCTACCCTGTGACAGAGCCGCGGCCTGCAATAAGCGCGGGGGTCATAAATAGGTATATGATATAGATAAGGCCGGAGCAGCCTCAGATTCCATCCTCACCCCAAGCACAGGCCTTGTGTCAACACCGTGATAAACCAGCGCTGGCTGGGGCGCTGCGGGGCAATTATTTACTAAGCACGTCGTATGTACGACACGCTGGGAGGATTGCGACACGGCGGGACTGATACAACCAGGATTCACCCGCTGTGAAAGTCTGCGAAAAAACAAACGCAACGTTTTCCCCTGAAAAAAAAAAAAGAAACATTTTACATTCGGCCTTCCGTGTTGTATCTTCATCATTCTAGAGGCTTATAAATGATATCTAAGACTATATTTGAGGAGAATGGAAAGCCCCCCGGCGTCATGGGGTAAAATATTGAGGGGCCGTAAAAACGACAGGCGGATTTCGCTGCCCGCAACCCGCAGCTGCACCTTGCAGTACTCCTTCTTTACCACAAGATGTCCTCAGTCTTCAGAGATGAACTTTCAACCCACTTCCTCGGAGCCCAGACTGTCACGTAGCCGCTGCCAGCTTGAGAGGCGGCACAGTGATGAGATCTTCTCATTGTCACTCTGCTTTCTCTATCGGCGTGCTCATTTTTTGAGAAACTGACAGGTCCCTTGTGCTGCTTCTTCCTCTCTCAGCTGGAGCTCTGCTGTAGAGGAGATTGCAACCTTCAAGTTATATTGGTGTTGTAGACCGTATATATATATATATATATATTTATTCAGGGGTGCTGCTGGTACACATTACCAGGAAGGGGGTTGCTAGTGGTGCACATTCCGGGAGGACGGGCGGGGGGGCGGCATCCTGTCCAGAGCTCACTGACATCACTGGTTGCCAGGAGCTGGGCGGGATGCCGGCCAGAGCCTCACAGGCTGCTAAGACGCTCTGCTTGGACACTCTGGCCGGAAAGGGGGGGCGGCAGGTTTGCCCCCATGTGACCCAATTGATATGTCGACCATGCAATTGCCTCATTATAGGGACCGCCCTATATATTCATTTTTTTGTTTTCTGTTCTGGGCTCGTGGATTAGGTTTAGGTCAAGGGTGAAGTTCAGGGGGGTCAGGTCAAGGGTCAGGGTCAGCCTTTTGCCAAACCAGCAACTAAACTGGCTTCAACAAACATATTATTTACTCTTTTTTCCCCCTTTATTTGGAGGTTTTTTGGGGGGCGTAGTTTCATTTAATTTAGTGGGTTTTTATATTTTTGGCTAATAAGTGTCCATTTTGCGGCACAACATCCTGGGTGGATTAAAGGAGCCACTTAAAGCGTACTTCACCCTTAAAGGGGAACTCCATGAAGTATTTTTTATACTTCCCCCCTCTCTCTCTCACTTTTTAGCTTCCCCCTCCATGCTCCAACTCTGTCCCCAAATTCTTTGACAGTTCTTTGCTGGAAGTCCTCTTCAGGGCAGACAGACTCCCATTCTGCTGGTTCTTAGTGAGCCCAGCTTGTTGTTTTCATGTGCCCAGGGCTGTCCCAAAACTTTTTGCCATCTGAGGCGAGGGGGGATCGCTGGTGGTTAACGTTACCCGGGG